TGAAAAGAAGCAGAATGAGCGGGGACCCCCATATTTATAACCCGACGCGGGACTCGAAGAGACCCTAGGCTCATTAATGACATAGGGTAGCCGCCCCTACGACCGCTTAACGCAAGACACGTGGCGGCAACCTGACAGTCGCGTCCCCTCACCTACCTTTTCCCTGCTCTGCCGACGACCAGAGATTTTCGCACGAGTGCCCGTTCCAGACGCAGCGACCTTAAGTCCTCGCTCTCTCCCCAGAGCTTCGACTTGGGGGGCTCCTGTTCCGGTATGGGCCCAACCTCGACAGGCCCAATACCGCGTACGACCCAACAAGCGAATCGGGCGCGCCGGGCACGTGTGTCCCTCAAGACGAGCAGGATGGGTCGCCGAACACAAGCAACGTCCCAACAACCTTTCATCATCCACCACACCAGACGAGCAGAACCGTCCCCGGCTCACCAAAGCGCGACCATGGTCCCTCCCCTCCGCGGGGAGAACAACGCGCTCCAGAGTATCTCGCGAGCTCCCCTCCTCGGGGAGAATAACGTGCCCGGCGCACGTTCTCCACGTGCTCCCCTCCGCGAGGACACGTCACCGGCCAACCGCCCACCTCCGAAAGAGCAGGTCAAACCCACTTTCCGGAGATCTAGGAGCGGTTGAACTAGGGCGAAGACCACGTCCTGGTCTTCAGTACGCCACGTAAGCCCTAGCAATCATTAGGGTTGGGCCTGGTCATCCAGCCCACCTCAAATGACCGTTGGCCCAGCGCTGGGGTCTCTCTATAAATACCCTCTTCCCCAAGAGGGTCAGGTAACTCTTCTTGCCCCTTTCTGTACTGTTGCTTCCACTCTGCCCAATTTCTTACTTTGGCATCGGAGTGTCTTGCAGGTACACCCCCCTTTTTCCTCCTCATCATCGGCGAACAGGTAGCAGCCCAACAGAGTGTGGCCAGTCCGTGATCCCCTTCTGATCAGGTCAGATCATAAACTGACACCGAAATTAATCTAATGACTTAAAAATATAATTTTGAGAATTTTTTTTGATTTTTTCTGACTCTATGAAAACAATAAATAAATCATTAAAAATAGAAAAATGATGAATTTGGGAATTCGAAGGGCCAACTCCTTTAGCTCTTTTAGAGTTAAGGACTTTTGATCACACGATTTTTCTGCTTCAAGTTCACGAAACAGATCTAAAAAAGAAGACGATTTGCCCAAAACCTGGTTTTTTTACTAGGTCTGACGAGAAACGGGAGAAACGGAACGGCTGAACGCAAAAACACAAGAAAATACACAAAAATACAGAAAATTAAAACAAACAAAACCTAAAACTAGACTATTGGCTAAATCAACTAGAATCTCCGGCAACAGCGCCAATTTGATCCGCTGTCGCGCGCGGATCAAAACGAGTAGTTTGGAAAACAGTAGTTTAGCGACAATGACTCGAGTCGTATCGCAAGGATTCTTGTAATGATTAACCAATTACAGTAATGAAATAAGGGGGGTTTAGGTTTCTGATTAAGAAAGAGTAATTAACAAAAGTGATTAAAGAAATAAGCTACTTTGAAATAAGTGATTATAGTAATAAGTTGAAACGGCTAATCCTACTGATTCGGGTTCCGACTTATCATCGACTATTATAACATCATTTCCTAAGCGGTACCAATCCTATTCGATTATGATATTAATCAAGCAAGCGCTTACCAACATCAAATGAATTATGTTCCTGTTTACCGAATTAAGCAAACGGTTAAGAGTATGACGAATTAACGAATTAAGCAAACGATAACACGCAATTAAATTTAGGAACATGCATACAATCAAATTTAATCAATTCTATCCTATGAACAACAATTGAATTAAGCAAACAATTGCAATCAAATTAAGCAAATGATTTTATAGAAAAGGATTGAAAGGAATCAGATTTAAATTGATATTATAGTAACCTCAAAGTGTTGAAACCGTACACAACAGGATTTGCCCGGAGGTATTAGTTTTCCATGAGTTCTTCTCAAACCTCTCTCTCCATTTTTTTCGTGAATAGTATATAATATGAACAATAAAACGAGGTTCTTTTTAAATGAAATTCATAGCCCAACTGGTTCATAATCCAACTGGGTCGAAAACATAACTCAGGCCCAAAACATGACCAAAAACTAAAACAAATTCCTAATGTTGTAACTTTAATGAATATTCTGGGAAAACGTGCTCCGAATCTGACTTTGACTCCAACATGAAAGTCGTAGCTCTCTCTCTTAGCTTTCTGGTGATTTTCAGAACGCCTCAAACTGATTCCCGAAATTCCAGTCATGATCGTTTTCGCGCAGACTGCTAAAGCTGAAAAATAAAGTGCGAAAATCAAATTAAACCAAAAATAAAATAAAATATAAAAACATAAGAATAATCAAAATAAAGTAAATAAATGCCTAATTAAAAATATAGGAGAATGTGCATAAAGATGCACTGATCAAAGGGCCTGCTAATAAAAATCGTGTACCAGAGGGACATACTGAAGAAGATAAATTTGTTGGTTTCAAAAAGGCGATCCCTATTGTAATAGTTTTAATACTGGTTGGAAGGATCACCCGAACTTCAAGTGGAGTAACAACCAAAGTTTGAATCAAATCCAAAGAGTTCCTCAAGTACCTCAAAATCCACCACAAAATAAGTCTCTCAATTAGATGAAGTTATGGCTCAATTCATGAAGATGACCAAAAGTAATTTTGAATCAATGAGCAAGAATCATGAAACATCGATAAAATTTTATAAAGAAAAAATGGAAAGTTATCTAGACAATTGGAAACTCAAACAAGTGGAGGTTTCAAAAAAAATACTTTGGACAATACTAATAATTAGAGTTGCAATTCCATTGAGTTGTAAGAGACAGAGTAGTCTCCACGGTAACAAATCCTATGAGTGAGAAGAAAAATTGAGTGAAGGAAGTAGTAGATAAGGGAGTAGTTGAAAAGGAGAAAAATAGAGAGATAAAAAAGTGAGGAAAAAAAGGAAGACACTATAAGAGGATACACACTTAGAAAAACTAATTGATAAAAACTCACCTTTGAGAATAACCAATAAGCAAATTCTCAATGAATCAAATCCTGAAATCCCTTATTATGTGAAACCGCCTTACCCTATCTTGAAGAAAAATCCAAAGAAAGAAAAGAAAAGTGGTCAACTCAACAAGTTAATGAAGAATGTCACAAAGTATCAAGTCATTATCCCTTATGGTGAAGCTTTAAAGAAAATTCTGGTTCATGAAAAATTCATGAAAAGATCTACTAACTAGAAAATGTAAGCCAAAGTATGATGAGAATACAACTTTGACAAAAGAGTACAATGAAATCATTCAAAGAAAACTTCCACCAAAGCTCAAAGATTCAGGGTGATTTACCATCTTGCACCATCATCAAGCTAAAGATAGAGCATACACTTTTTGATTTAGGGGTGAGTATCAATTTGATGCCTCTTTTAATGATGAAAAAGCTTAATTTTGGTGAAATTAAGCCAACTTAGATGTCCTTCACATTGGTAGATTGATCCATTGTTTATCCTTATGGTATGCTTAAAGATATGCTAATTAAAGTGGATGATTTTCCATTCCCAATTGATTTTGTTATTCTAGACATGGAGGAAGACACAAAAATACCTCTGATTCTTGGAAGACCTTTCTCGGCAATAAGAAGAGCTTTTATTAATGTGGATTTAGGTGAAAATATGTTGAGATTTCAAGATAAGAGCGTGGTTTTAAATGTGTGTGAGGTGATGCATCATCATAGTGAACATCCTTAATGTTATTAGGTTGATGCAGTTGATGATGTAGGTGAAGGAATGTCCCTAAAAGAGTTACTTTTTGTTGCTCATTAAATATGTTATGGTAAATTCTATTGACAGAGTTGAAGAAAGACAAGATAAAGAAGTTAAGAAATATGAGTGTCAAGAAGAAACATTTCATAATGATAAGATATAAAAAAAGTGAGGATTTAAATATTTCTCAATCAAGTGTCTTAGTGTCATTAAAATCTCAAAAATAAAAAATCTTTGAAGTGAAAGTGCCCCCTCTACATCTAAAACACGTTCTCTTGAGAAAACAACCAAGACCACCTGATTTAATTCATAGTATTATATCTATTTAGGAGAAAGAGAAGCCTAAAAGAGTGTCGAGACTCTAGAAATGATATATTGGAGACTTAGCTTTTAGCATGAAAGGGAATAAATCTTCCCGAATTTATAACCCGACAATGCGCTACTTCCAGAAGGTCTTTGCCCATATTGTTTTCAGTCGAGGTGATAACTCTAGAAACGTCAACTCAAAAGAGTTATTCTTTATTGACTATTTTTTTCACTCCATCCGGATCCATCCAGTGGCATTCATGCTTGCTAATATGCAAAAGATAGAAAAAACAAGAGAGAAAAAATAGTTGTTGGAGGATCGATTAACTCAATGGCCTTAACCCTCGGTATAGACGCCAAGATTGCTACATTGGACCTTTTGGAAGATAGTATCCCCTGGTATAAAATATATGAATTTAAGACACTCATTTAACTCTACTTCTCGCAATATGACCATCAAAATTATATCGAAATAGACTTTACACAATTTTATATTCGACGAAAATAACCATTTAGTTTCTTTCAAAACTTAAAGTTTCATAAAATTTAGTTTTGGTGATTAATATATATCCAATTTTAAAATTTTGGACTTCGAAAGGTATAAGTGATTTTGTTTTTGATGAAAATGCTCAAGAGCTTCTAACTTGGAACAAATATCTAAAATAAGATGGTGTAAATAGTAATTCCCTTTTAAATCGACGAAAACCCCGAGCCCAAAAGCTTCGAACGTGTTAGAGGAGGAGCCCACGAGAACTCCGAAACCGCGATCGTAGCCTTAAAGTGTTGCTACTGACACTGTAATCATCACTGTTCCGAAGTTGCACTTCATTTCCTCTTCCTGAAATCAGAAACTGAAAATTCCTTCAAAGTTGAATCAACCAAACCAGAAAGTTCTTGGAACTCATGGAAGAGTGCATTCAAGTCCGAAGATACGAACAACTTCACACCGCCAAGGAATTCGAGTCTCTTTTTGAAACTCAAAACGTTCCCGCTGTAAACAAAAACAACACTCTCCGATTCTTCTCTTATATTTTTTCATTATCATTTGATTTTCTTAACCTAATTACTAATATTTGATTTTCTTAACCTAACAAGGTTTGGTGCGGTTGCATCAAGAATTGGAGAGCGTTCTCTCTTTGGAACCCTCGGAACGGTGGCCTTGATTACTTGCAAGAACGGGTAGGGTCTGCCACGGTGGAGGCTATGGTATCTTCATCCGCACCTGTATTTTATGGCGATCTTGGAAGTCATGAGAGGGTAATTACAACACTCTATTTGCTTTTTCTCATGTGGATTATGGACTTTTTGGATTAATAGCTTAAATGACTAGTGCATTAATTATTAATCATTGTTGAGTTTATGTATAAGCTATAATTTGTTGCTATTCTGGATAACTTATGAAAATAAGCTACAAATTGCATATAGACGTGTCATAAGCGATTTTCTTAAGTTCCCACCGTAGTCTCGCAAGTGCTTATACTACTAGTACATAAACTGAAGTAAGCCAAACAATACTGGTGTATTATATGAGAGTGAGATATGAGATTATGTGGTGATGTTAAGTTAATATTTTTGTTTTTCTTTCCTTGTAGGTTCCTCTACCATTTTCTATGTTCCTTGATTTGTGTAAGAAACGGTTACATATGCAAACTGGGCAACAACATCAACATTTAGATGATGATCATTCTGTTGCCTTGCAAACGGATCACACACAACATGATTATTTGTCCTTGGAAGATGTTCCTGAACAAATTTATTTAGCGCAGGTTCAAACTCTAATATGAAATAACTTGTGCCAATTGGTTCATAAAAATTGATTTATGTTGTTTTTGACAATATTACCAAGTTTATTATTTTTATTTTATATATTTTTTATAATTGCTTTTAATGTTGAAATCATCTCTATATTTGCATTGCTCCAGCCGTGGTATTTTGATAATTTGATGTCACTATAGTTTTTAAATGATATATCTTTTTGGGTTCCTCTACAATTTTCAAATGCATTGAATATGCAGCATTACTTTTTTTTAGCTGCAAATATTATTAGTTACAGTCTTGTGAAAATAATTTTGTTGATTGTGCTATAGGTGCCGATCATGAACCGTGATCGTCAGGAGAAGGTTCAATTGGGAACCCTAAGGGAAGACATTCAGTTGGTTAGTCTATTTCTGCCTGCCATTTAATTTTGTAGTCTATAGTTCTTCATAGTAGAGACTTTTATTTATAAAAATTATAATTTAATCGTATTGTTTTCTGAAGCCTCCCATTTTGGGAGCAAAAGAACTGGCTTCTATAAATTTGTGGATGAACAATGCACAATCTAGATCTAGTACTCACTATGATCCACTCCACAATCTTTTGTGCATAGTTTCTGGCCGCAAACAAGGTAAGGTATATGTCTTCCTCTTCTTGTTATGACCTATTATCCTATCCTATTATCTCCCAGCATGAGTTTTTTTGCCATGCAGAAGTGGAGGTGTTCCTTGTCAGCAATATGCTATCAATTATTTTCAGCACTTGCATTGGCTTACTGATGCTTTAAATTATTTAATGTCTAAAGTTATGTGATAGTAAATAAAAAAACATAATGGAGTTTTAGAGCTCTATTGGCCTCACCCTGTCCATTTTCTGTTAACGATTTTGTAAAAATCCTTTCCAGGTTCTTAGTTACTTATTCGAAATATTTTGGCCCTACCTTCTGTTCTTCCTCAAGCTTTGATCCCTTCATGTCTTTTAACAAAATCAAATTCTGTGCAGTTGTTTTGTGGCCTCCTTCTGCTAGTCCCTCACTCTACCCAATGCCTATTTATGGAGAAGCTTCCAATCATAGGTATGCTCAATGATTGTTAAGGGACCTCTATATGTATTGATGTAGTAAACACGGTGTATTACTATTAGGTATGCTCAATGATTGTTAAGGGACCTCTATATGTATTGATGTAGTAAACACGGTGTATTACTATTTGATAGCGTGAGAACAATATAGCTCCTCATGTCCTGTCCTCATAACACGGCTCACCAACATATCTTTTATATTCTAATAATGCCTCACTATGTCTTCTTTTTTTCCAATAAAATTCATGTGGCAGTTTGGTTGCTTTGGAAAACCCTGATTACTCGATTTATCCGAGGGCAGAATGTTCAATGGAGTTGGCACAAAAGGTTGTTCTGGAGGCCGGCGATGCACTTTTCATTCCTGAAGGCTGGTAAGTTCTAAAATTCATCAAAGTAATTTCAGTTTCTAAGTAGATTATTTCCCTTCCGAATATGGTAGACGTGGTGCAGGCTGGTAGGCTTGAACTGGGGAACCTCTGTGTCATATGAGAATTGCTTAACTTGTCTGATTGTTTTTTTTTGGGAATTCTGTACTGGATATTTGTTTGATACTTTTGAAGAAGATGATTAATATGTCAAGTGCATTTGGTTCATGCTTGTCAAATTTGGAAATATTGGTGTGTTTTGATTTTCTAATTTGAGCTTTGTGCATTTGTCACTTTTAGGCATTTTCTCAAAAATACAAGTTTACAAGTCTAAGGGTTCACTTACCTACAATTGCTAACTGCTCTCGCTTATTTCACTTCTATATCATTGCATTATGTCATATTTTCCTCGACTCCACACCCAGAGTCACGATTCGTATCATTCACTGGTTACATTTGAAAATACGTTGTTCAAGCACTTATATAAAGGTAGTTGTGCCATGAGTGTGTGAAATCTTTCTTGAAGGATGGATTTTTTTAACATATCCTAGATGCAATTAAATTTTGTTTTGTTTGTTGTGATGTCTATTCTTATTTTTTGTTGCTTGAACTTATATGTTATGCATTAGTCTTCACCAATGAAGCACGGACACGATACGGAGATACGTTAGTCATTGAGAAATTTAGGATACAATACGTTTAAAATACGTACTATAACAAATTAAAATTAAACATTAGTTAAATGATTCTCTAACAAAAACCAATTGAGTTTGCAAAATTTGATAATAATTGGTCAAGGAATTATGAGAAAAAGAAAAAATTATTAAAGTTAAGAGAAAAGTAATTAAAGGAAAAGTTTGGTTCTTGTAATAAAAAAAATGAAAGTGATGATGAATCAAAGATTGATTCATATTCTAGAAATATGAATAGACATGAGATTAACTAGCCATATCCATATAGTATTAGAGACCTGTCGCCAGTGTATCGCCGCCGTACCAGAACATATCGGAACTTTTAATTTTTATTTTTTAAATAAAAAAATTCGGATACTTCTTTGATACGTATCGGCAGTGTATTGGCGTATCAAATATGTATCGGATACAATACAGCATAGATTTTAGAGCATCAGTGCTTCATTGGTCTTCACTATGAATTTCTGTCTAGCTCAACCTTGCAAAACGGACTTGTAAGGTGTGAGACACCTCCCACTTATAAACACCCTTTCATGCCATATCGCATTCAATGCGGGGTTCTTGTTGGGTGCAAGTGTGAGTGGGGTTAGTCCCACATCACCTATGAACTAGTGAAATCTTGAATTTATAAGAGATGTGACCCATAAATCTGTCGTCTTAAGGTTTTGGGCGGAGACGTGCTGTCTCCCTCTCTTGTTATCCAGGAGCATTGATTTCGTTGGTGCATTGTGCCTATTGTTGCTCCTGCCTCCCCCGGTCTCCCCAACCGTTCTCATTACACTCACTCACGCTCTGATATGGATATCAGAGTGTTATTTGATTGAGTGTACCTATAGTGGATGACTCTGAATCTGGGATAGACTATTATACCATCTTAGAATTTGGGTTGGAACTAAACCAACCCTATAAAATAAGGTGAGAGATGCTTCCCACATATAAGCACTTCTTAGACCATATTACAATCAATGTGAGAGTCTCAATAACTTCATGCCACCCAACTGTATTTTGTAGTAATGTCTATATTTGCTGTTTAAAATTATCAACAAATTTTCCTTAGTTTGTATATCCTTTAGAAATTCTTCGTTTCTTTTACACAATAGTCTTGTTCTCTATTTCGTTTCTGTTTTATGCTGTAGGTTCCACCAGGTAGACAGTGATGATTTGACTATTGCTATTAACTTGTGGTGGAGATCCAACACAATGTCTTGCATGTTGGAACATATGGATGCTTATTATTTACGCAGAATATTGAGAAGGTATTGGTGATGTTGTAGTTCTCAGTTTAAATTTCTCACTGAGTATTATGTGATAAATTGACTTCTGAATGTTATTATTTTTCTTTTCAAATACCATTTACCTGATGATTTAATGGATGCATCCAAAGATTGATTGACAAAGAGATGGTATGTGCTTATTTTGTACATGTCCTTTACTGCAAAAAAACATCAGCGTAGCCTACACTAGTACTATTTCATTTGTTTTTTGGTGGGGTTGAAGAATAAATATGGAAGAAAACTGATATGTCAGTCTTGCTCTTGTTCAGCTACTTGTGAACGCATCTATACATGTACATGTGTATGCATTGCACGCGCTTATATACATAATTTCCTTTTTCAAAATTCTTCAGATGTGTAGCTTCTTTAAGTGATATTCTTTTCCTTGCTTTTTGTGTGGAGTTTCACTTGGCAGCACAGCATAAAACTTACTGACTACTCCCTCTGCAACGATTTATAAGCAAAAAAAGAAAAAAAAAAGTAAAATTTCACACTTATTAAGGAAGTTTAAATCTGTCTTTTTTGGATTAGCTTTTACAGGAAGATGTAAAAGCAAATTTAATTGGTTGTTGTTTTTGGAAAAAATGAGAGAAAACAAAATCAAATGCAACTTGCATTTAATTTTACCTTGGAAAAGATGCATTTTTTTGATTAAAATGCTTAAATGAAATAAAATTGATGTTTTTTGCTTATAATTTGTGACAAGAAAAATGTATGTATTTTGCTTATAAATCATTACGGAGGGAGTATTTGTTATTGAATTTCAATTTTCAGAAAATTTTCATCGCTAATGGTTGATGAAGTAGGAAGGGTAGAATTTGTTGTTCCGTGTATCTCATTATTAGAGTTTGGCCTAACTCAACCTTACAAAACCGTTTCGTAAGGTGAGGGGTGCCACTCTATAAACTCCTTAGAGATTCTATGTCTAACCAATATGGGACTTAAAATCTTTCCAATATTCCAATCATACCATGCCACGTTGTATTTATAATAATGGCGTTACAATAAATACATTTGAGTGTTTAATTAATTATCACTATTCTAAAAAGCTGTACATTCTAGGAATATTGACAGTAACTAATAATAGTCACTAACTATAAGGGAGCATAAGCCTTTTGAGCATCTGTCGATTTATCTCTTGAATTTTGTTCCAGAGTGTAGAGAACGGAAGGGTGTTGTCTATACTCTTCTAGCTTATCAAAGCTCATTGAGTTAAATTGTTTTTTCCCCCTCTCCATGAATTAGTAGTTTTGTAATGAGCTTATGACATGTTTTTTTTGATATAGGACAGGATCAACAACTGCTTAAGTTGGGGATGCGAGTAACAAGGATGTGTGCGTACAAGCTCCCGAATAATGGAGAAGCAAGTAAGTTAACTAGAAGATGGCTTTAATATAGTTATGCTCTATGATTTTCTCTTTACAAGAAAACTAAAATTCCAGCTTATCGTTTTTTGAGGTCTAACTGATCTTGATTATCTGAAGAAAACTAAAATTCCAGCTTATCGTTTTTTGAGGTCTAACTGATCTTGATTATCTGATTACCAGGTCACACGGATGAAAGTTGCAGTCAGATGCCAAAAGGAATGGATTTGAAGGAGAAACTAAAAGAGGGCAACACATTGCTTGAATTAAAACCTGCTGCAGTCCAGGTGCTTCATGAACTTGTGTCTTTAGTTCACAGCAGTGTTACTGCCAGTCAGGATCAGCAATCACTGTCAACTTCTATAAATGACAATGAGAATATAGGAGATGAGAAATGTGAGAAAATAGTGTCTGCTGACTTGAAAGATGATCCAGCTGCTAAACTTCTCTGGGACGTTGAACCACAAATTCTCCAAAATGTCTTTCTTGCTATGGCAGTGAGTTTTCATTATCTACACAACTTACAAATGTTTGAAAAGTTGTCTTCTTTATGCACGTTCATACTGTGAACCATGGTGTGGGTGTTTTAGTTATCAGTTATGATTAGACATAGTTATTGTTGGTACAACAAAGCATTTCTGGTTGATCATTTCAATCGGTTTTTTCCTTGCAAGTTGACAAATACATTGGTTTTACTTTTCTCATTCTCATGAATGATCATGTGATTACATTCCAATGATAATATCTTTCCTACTTAAAAGAGAACTATTTGTAAAAGACTGTAAAGTGAGTAGATCATATGGAGGACAATCTAATTATTAGAGGTGGAAGGAGATCAATGAAAGTTAGTAGCGCAACCATTAAAATGATTTAGATTTAAATGATCTGTCATTAGACATGATCTATCATAGGGCACTGTGACATGATTTTAATTGAGGGTTTTTGTCACTTTCAATTTTCATATCAATCTATGCTTTCAGTAATTTTTCTAATTATCGATAACATTGGGGCTACTGCTATGTCTTTAACTCAAATTATATACTATTTATTTCCTTGTATGTAATCATAAATTGTATCTATCTGTTAAATATTTTAAAGTTTTAGATTTCAAACCTGTTGGACTATTTTCTGTTTTCAGAGCAGCTTTCCAAGAACTTTAGAGGCTCTAGTTCTGCATGTACTTTCACCAGTTGGGATTGAGGTTCTTACTCGGAAATTCGATGAGATGGACGAACAAGTTCTTGAGGGAGATCGGTACTTTCTAATATGTACTATCTTCTTAAGTGTTTCATGTACTTGGTTGTCAAGAAGATAACATCCTATTATTTTGGTCCCCACAGGAGTAAATTTTATGAGGCTTTCTACGGTGCATTTGATGATCAAACTGCAGCAATGAATTCTATTCTAAAGGGGAAGGAGCTATTTACTCAACAGGTAATTGAGGAGCTGCGCTCTAGCTTTATCTTTTGGAAATTATTGTTCCAAATTTTCTCTGGCGTGTGTAATTAGAGTCGCACAAAAACCTGTTAACACTGAAGCAGTACAAGTACCTAAGAATACTTGAAGTTAGTTCAAAAGACTAAGTCTTCTAATGATGCAACAGACTAAAGCAACACGAGTTTTCTGATGGCATGATGGATCACAGAAACAAGGTTTTCTAATATACACTGAAACTATTTCCCGATGTATTTTAAGATGGTAAAAATCAAGTCAGTATTATGCTTATTTGAAAACTAGTTCACAGTAATTAATACCTTGTCAAAATGTGTCTGCTTCAGTTCTAAAACAAGGTTTTAGCTAAACTGAGATTTCTGAACTAGCAGTAATAAATGTTCTTGAGAAGATCAGTTTCCAATTTCTGATGAAACGACAATTTGTGTTAACAACAGTGCAAATTTACTAAACTTAAAATAGAGCAAGGAAGAGAGAAATGCACATGATATATATTGGTTTCATCCACAAATGTTTTGACTACAATGAATCCCCACACACAATTGGGTCTTTCACTATGTAACAAACAAGCTTATTTACGGGCATTCTTTTCCCACAGCCTTATCATGCTTCACCTTGAAGTATTCTGTGTCCAGGACAGATTCTTCATGCAACATCTAACAATAATTCTTATTCTAGATAATGCCTTTTCAGGATACACAGAAAGACAGATTCTTCATGCAACATCTAACAATAATTCTTATTCTAGATAATAGCCTTTTCAGGATACACAGAAACACCTCTCAGCCAATATTAACCAACCTAATAGCTTGGGGTAAAACCAAAATACTGTACTGAAATTCTGGCAAGCACATGATGGATGTTATCACGGATGTTATAACATCCACTGTAACACATACTATTGGAATAATTAAAAAGTTGTAAAGGAAAGCAGTAAATAACACAGTAATTGTTCACCCAGTTCAGTGTCAACAACACTTACATATGGAGGCTACCAAGTCAGGGAGGAAATTCACTATTAGCAGAAATAATTCAGAGTCAAACAACCCAGTTTGCACTCCTCACTTAAAACCTACTCAATGACACTTCAACCTAGAGACCTCTAGATCAGAGTTTACCCACTCACTCCTCCTCAATCACCTCAGTGATATAAACCAATTACACAGTAGATATGAAAACACACTTCAAACACACCTTGATCTTGCTTCACAGCTTTGATCAAGAAACACACACTCTTGCTTAACAGCTTTGAGTGAGACAATGAACACACCTGTTCATACACAATCACCAAAGCAATTATACAGCATACAATTGCTTGGCACACAAGGAATGATTCCTAGACACACGTGAAGAGAAACTTCTTCACTCATAAATTACACCCTTTAATATCTCTGCTAGCTGCGTTATCAATTGAGGTTCATCCTCTTGTTATTTATAGCAGATATTCTTTGAGCCTTTGTGCAGAATTTAGATTTACCCAACCCTTTCTTCAAGAATCTGCACTTACCTGTTAGGTCAGAGACATGTTATTTCGCCAGGGCTTCTAAAATGTTTCCTGACTTCCAACTTGAGCTTCCCCAAAGTTTCCTGAATTCTAGCCTGAGCTTCCTCAACCTAAATACCAGAAAACTAATCCTGCGCGCCTGATGTCATACGATCAGTGTCATGACATTCAGCATGACATCCAACTCAACTTACTGTTAGCTGACTCTACTTACCCTGCATAGTGTGTGTCATAACATCAGTCATGACATCCATACACACTCTAATGTTTTGCCACAAAATACAATCAACCAAAAGCACTTACAAACTCCCCCTTTGGCAAATTTTTGGCTAAAACACTCTGTCACTATATCAGAGTTTACAGGCAGCAGAAGTCTAATAACCTATCCATGCAGGTAAGCTACCAACAACTAGTAGAGTTGTCTATACTCACACAGTTAGCTCTCAGCTTCTCAGGATCAACCTGTCACACATACAACTTTGAGTAACATTCTGGGTTACTCCCCCTCAACTGATGTACCCTACATCAGTTGGGCACAACCTGCACAGCTTGCAGTCACACATAACTCATCCAGGCTGTTCTGGATGTCATGACATTAAGGATAACATTCTGAAGTCGCACACTCCTGTGCTACTCCCCCTGAAGAGATGCACAATACTCACATTCTGCTTAATATCTTGCAGACACACACATACACTCCTAAGCATCAGCTAGGAGCTCACAGAAATTACTAAGAGCATCAACTGTTATCACACATGCACAACAGCAAGACTGGTTCTTCAACCATGCACATTTGCAGCAACACCTGTACCACACCTGCAACATACTTGTAGCAGCAATTCACATCTGCAACATACTCGTAGCAGCAATTCACACAAGAGTCTTCCACCTGCTTTTCCATGCATACATAACCACCCTGATGCTATTGCTACCTGCTGTTTACCTACCACTCTCTCCCCATTTTTAGCCACAAATTAAGATCAAACTAATAAAATAGTATAGATCATAAGGTATAACATTACATATGTTTGGGGTCATTACAACAAAAACTGCTCATGAAGAGCATCGCAAAGTGTCATGCTGTCACAAAACAAAAGTTTAAGCAAGAAAAGAAAACTTAGGAGCAGCACACATAATCAGCTCAGCAACCAGCAGCCTGAGCTCCACAGCAGTCTATCATCTCAACACTTTTCCTCCTCAGAGGAAGAACGGGAACCAATATCATTAGTACCGATTGAGACATTCTTCTCAGAATCTTCACCTATGGCATGAATGATCTTGCCCAGTCCAACAACAATGGAGGATGTATGGTTGGCAGGCACCCAATTTGTAGCTCCAATTCTATGAAGAATGACATACTTTACGTTGAGTAGTGTTGCAGACAACTTCCCTTTGGATGGCCATGTTTTGACTTGGTTAGCAGTGATGATCTGGCAAACCTGGTTGTCTGAAGCAACCAATTCAGTCTCCCCATCATTTGCTCGCCCTAGATACCTGTTGATCACAGCAGGAGAGAATTGCACACACTTTCCTCTGACAAACACCTTCTTGAACTCCTTGTTGTTTCTATTTGAGATTGAGTCAGGTATGTTTACAATGAACTCCTTTACCAGTCCTTCGTAGCATTTGGAAAATCCAGAGACTGTTTTAAGCAGTCTAGCCTTGTTGATGAGTTCCATTACCTCCTTGATCTCCAAGGCATCCTTCACCAATTCTCTCTCAAGGACTATTCTCCTTTGATAGACATGTCTCCGTTTGGTTACACTGTGAATGGAGTGGAAGGAGATGTTGTCCAGAGGTGCCGTTGGCATAGGTACATCACTATCAGACTCAGTGTTACTATCAGTACCTTTCCTATTTTTGGATGCAGCTGATACCTTGCTCCAAAATTTGGAGGGGCCATCAGAAGTCCTTTTACTCTGACTTTTGGAAGGATTTTCTTCAAGTACAACTTTTCTTTTCTTGGTCACTAGTTTCCTGCCTATCCCAGGAGCAACATTCTTGATGAGTTCATCATCTGATGACACATCTATAACATGTTCACCATTTCCAGGAGCTTCATTCATCTCTTCCTCCTTGGAAGTGCTCTTGGTTTCACCATTATTTTGACCATCATCCTGACCTTCCTCCTGTACCTCATAGCTAGCAAGATTTTCAAGAGTCTTTGTGTTAGGGTTAGTCTTACCAGAGGAAAACTCAGACTTATCCTCATGATTCTCATTAGGGATTGGGGATGGGTCAATCTTAGAGAGAGGAATGGTGATTCCATGTACATTATGCCCTTCATGGAGGATTTTGGAAACTAGTTCATTGACAGACCTGTCATCATAGGTAGAGTCCACCATTCTATTATAGTTGTCCATGAAAGATTCAAAAATCTTATCTTCTTGGTTTGCATGTAAAGAAGCTGAAGTTTGGGCTTCACTATCTCTTCCAAAGGCCATGCTTAGAGGAATGACATCAAGGATATCCTCCAGAGAGATGCTCTTGTTTTGATCACAGTCATGCTTGGTAGGGATGGGAATTTGTTGAGACATTGTTGGTGACTTTGGCTGTAGAAGGGAGGTTTTTCTGTGGTGGTTGAATGAGGTATGCAATGAAACGAATTGGTATGTGCACTCACAGAGCCAATCTGATATTGTGAGGGGGCTAGAAGGGTTTGCTTGCAACAGAGGAGGGAGCTTGATATTTTGACCAATCAGAAACTGATTAATTTTCAAAATATAACGCCCTATTAATTGCTATAATCTCTTATTACACCACCTTCCCAAATTGCATCTTTCATTTTCTCTTAGAGTAGTTTTGTGATCCCCTGTGAAAGTGTTAGCCCTTGGTATGTCATAGTCCTCAAGCTCCACACTAACCTTTCCAAACTGATCCTCGTTACCACTATTCATGGTTCTGTTAGACAGAATTGAGTTCATGTAGATGTTACTCTGAATGTCACAATATAATGTCATAACCTTCTGAGTGACATTGCTTTCTTTTTGCTGACCATCTTTCATGGACTCCATTAACTTCCAATATACCATGTCCAGATTTCTGTGATGTCCCTTCTTTGAATATGCTATATTGGCTTGCCTATCAGCTTGATATTTTCCTGTTCTATCATTTGGAGTTAGCCTTGAGGTTCCTCTTACTTCTTCCTTGAATATGGTCTTTTTTATCCTTTGAGGATGTCTACCTTTCTCCACCCATATTTGATCCTTCTTTTCTTCATCGATCAAGACAATTAGGTTACTTCTAGGCTCCCATAAGTAACAGTTGGTCTTGGATCTAGATCCCCTCATGACTTCCTCACCTTCTTCATTGGTGACAACACATTTATCTTTAGTAAATGTGACACTAAGACTTTAGTCACAGAGCTGACTGATACTGATAAGATTAACAGTCAGCCCTTTAACCAACATGACATCATCCAGTTTTGGAACACCAGGATAATATAGTTTTCCAACTCCTTTGATTTCTCCTCTAGCAC